AAATATTTTTTATCTCTGCTTATTCTCTTTCGACGTTATTTAATAATCATTGGTTACTTATGTATCCACCATAACTCATGAACCGATACAAAGAAAAACACCAAATTTTAAACTTAAGCTTTATTCTAGCCTGCGGTGAACTGATTAGATTTTGGGCAGAGTCGGAACATTTGGGGGGGTACTTTATTGGTGGTCATTTTTATATTTTTTGAAATATATCCGTTATTTACGTTTGGAGAAGAAAATTCTTCAAATAAGTTACTTACAATATTATTATCTATAATTTTTGTTCTATACAAAATTTTCCTAAAATGGTCCGTATTCGAGAAATTTGACAAAATGTAAAAAAAATATTTTTTTATAAAAATTGTTCAAATAAAAGTTGTAATATAATTCTCTATAATTTTTATTCTATACATAATTTCTCTAAAATAGACCGTATTCGAGATATTTAAGAAAATGTGTAAATTTTGAATTTTGAAGAAAACTCAAAAACAGGAAAAAACATTAAATTTTAAACTTAAGTTTTATTTCGGCCTGAGGTGAAATGATTAGATTTTGGACGAAGGCGGAACATTTGGGGGGGTACTTTATGGGAGGCCGATTTATATTTTATGGAATATATTTGTTATTTATGTTTGGAGAAGAAAATTGTTCAGATAAAAATTACTTACAATATTATTATCTATAATTTTGGTTTCATACAATTTTTTTTAAATGGTCCGTATTCGAGAAATTTGACAAAATGAAATAAAATTCAAATTTTTAGGAAAATTGTTTAAATAGAAGTTATTTTTGATATCGATCTCTATAATTTTTGTTTTTTATATGATTTTTCTAAAATGGACCGTATTGGAAAAATTGAAGGAAAAGTGTTAAATTTAAATTTTTCAGTATTTTCGTTTTCAATGAATATCTATAGAAAAATGTTTCGAGTTAGATGTATGTGGAAAATGTATATATTTAGTTTATCCTCTAAACATTTATAGAGGTGCTGCAATAGGTTACACAAAATAACCGGAAAAAGCCTATAATAACTAGATAGGAAAGTCATGTGTTGGACACATCAGATTTTTAATATTGGTGTGACATATATCCTCCCACAGCTTTAAAAAAAGATCTGTTGGTTATACTGAATACTGAAGGGATTTAAATCTTAAACCCATCCCAGCTAGTACATAACGTTGCCAAGCCTTTCGGCGATGTTGCTTTAAGGGCTCGTAATAACATTACTATACAACGTAAATGCAACGTTCATGAGAACTTGTTGAGGGAAATAAAAACCTCGCAAAACTTCTGTTTGTTACTTACCTATTTAACCTACCTGTTATGTTAACACAACGTAATAAAGTAATTTGCTAAAAAAAGTATTTACGAAAAGTACTATGAACATCTAATCTTAATTCGGAACGTTTGTTTGTCAATTGTCACTTTTTCTTGTCATATGTCATGTTTTTGATGGTTGCTTTTTAACTAGGAGAATTTATTTTATAAATAATTTTTATACATTTGACTAGAATAATTGGTAAGGATCCTCTATAAAATAGAAAACTATTTTCTAAACCATTTTCTTCGTGAACGAAGCTAGGTAAAAATACATATATCTTTTTCAGTGGTAAAGTATTTTTAAGCAACATACCTTACTTTTTTTTTCGTTTTTAAATCAGTCTTAAAATGAAGGACATGTTTTTGTTTCTACCAAATGTTATCATATTTAGTGAATAAAAACTTAAGATTTAAATCAAAACTTGTTTTAACCTAAGAGTTACAAACTTATTTACCCATTCTCTCCAATTAATAAGTGTGTGGCTTAGCTCTTTTCACCACCAATATGACGATATATTTGTTACATTATAGCATAAATAAAAATATTTCCAAGCCACATGTAATTACAATAAAATCATTTTTGTTTACCTTTGCATAAATAATAAACTAACAAAATAAAAATATATACATATCTACAAAAACTAAGTTAAAAGGCTTGATTTGAAACAGATGATATATCTCTGCGTCTACAGGTAAGAAATTAGGGAACTCAGCTATCTCGTATAACATATACCTAGTCATTGTTGCAATCATCTATTTATTATTCACCGATCTAGTTTTAGCATCATACAGTTACCATCTTGAAACGTACCTTATTTAAATATACTTTTGTACAGTAGTTCACTATTAAAACTTCTAGTGAACCGTTGCAATATTGATACCTTATGATATTAAGCTAAGTTTGTCCAATCGTTCAGTGCTTTATAGGTGGCTTCTATTATCGCACTTGTGCAAAGACATTACAACATATAGAAAAAATGTTTCATTTATAAATCCCATACAATTGTGGACTGTTATTGTTTTAAAATTGTTAGTGAGTGGAAGAGAGAAAGAGAGATCTATTATGACCGGCTGGCAACGTTGTAAACAGTGTCCATAATATGTTCGCCAGTGGCGTAGAGTTTTAAACTTATCAGTATTGTTAGAGTATTATTTTAAAAAAATACGTAAATATGTAGGTATATTTTTTTAGTAATATAATTATGATGATTTTTTCATGTAGGTAGATTAGATTATGAGTTGAACGTTATTTGTCCTTGTCCACCGCAACCTTTTCAGATCTTTTGTGGGACTCCTGTTTGTTTTAGAGTATATCGTCTAGCCTGGTCTTTTTTATTAGTCTCAGTAGCTTTGACAGTGGCTCCCGCATGTAGTTGCATGCAATTGGCTTTTCTTCGCCCAATGTTAGAAACCTCGTTCCAGCCAGGCATTCACATTGGCACAGGACGTGGAATATTGTTTCCTCTTAAATTTTCTTTGCCACTATTCAATATTTATTTATTGGTATAAGAAAAATTTACCAATTTATAAAAGGAATATCACTTTAAAAACTGTTTTAAGACTGTTTTAGACTACACAAGTTTTTGATACAATTTCTTGTACAATTTAAATTGTATATTATCAAACCTGCAGTAAATTGTCTGAAAAATTAGATTAATGATTTGCCACATAAAAAGGTAAACAATTTGGTCTCTTAGTTGTAATGTCTTTGCACTTATGTAACTGCGTTTGTGATATACCTACCTCTACTTTTGTGATATTTCTACTTAATTTCAAAAACATTTTAATAATAAATTTATATATTTTGTTTTAATTGAAATTTCCATGTCTCCATTGAGATTTTACTATAACCTCAATTTCAGCCTCTCTGTATTACATTACATAAAGTACAATATAGAACGGCACAATGTTTATAGTCATTAGTTTTTATTGTATCTTGATTCATTTTTAAAAAGTAGATGTTTCAAATTTAATTTATATCTCGTACAAGAGCCACGTGAAAAACAGAAGCTGTAAAACTAAACGCTGAAAATTAAAAGTTGGAAAATCAATTGATGAAAACTAACTGGTAAAAGTCGAGTAACCGAAATATGGAAATGCGAGACTTGGCGTAGGTTCCCGATTTGTAGAAATTTCAATTACCTCCGAAGGAAGTTGCCAGCGAAAAGCAAAAAAATTAATACCTGATAATGATAAACTTTAAATGACTTGTTCCTGAACAGTTTCTTTTTTTTATCTAAATAAAATAGTTCATTTTTATAAGTATATATGTTGAATCTTATTTTTTAAAGGTTACAACAATTCTCTTTTACTCAAATTTATTCAAAATTTTTATTAACTTCTTTTTTTGATAAAGCTAGAGTTTATAATTTTCACTAGCTTTCAAAAATAAAAGAAGAGAATTATTGGTGCCCAACATTTCCTAGAAAATTATTACCCCAAGGTGTCTATTAGAAAAGCCGAATTCACGACTGAGAAAAATATGGTCAATATGCTCATTTATTTCTTTGAATTTTTAAAGGTAAGTAACGTTTGATATTAAATTTCACTGAGCTAGTAAAAATCTCTTATAAGTGTTTTGAAATTAACATTTTATCACACGGCAACGTAATATATTGCAAATTGGCACTGCAATGTGTCAATCCAATATTGCAACGTACTCTGAACGATAAGGTGACCATACACGCCTACATAACCATTTATATAATCCAGTTAAAATATGCAGCGTAATTTTTACCTTAGCGTTCAGAATACGTTCGGGATTTGCTCCGTGAACGAAGCTAATATCTAGGGGAAGACAAGAAAGAGTAATGGCACTATAACGTTGTCTCAAAGTGTGTTAGATATAATAAGAAATTGTTCGCTATGGCAAGAATATTGAAAATAATTATCGAATTTTTCTGAAACATTCTTGCATCATAAATCTGGAATACACGTCAAGTGAAGGTGACAGCAGTAATGATAATTCTTAATTTCATTTTTTTTTTATTTTATTATTAAGAATTATTAAACTCAAAATAAGTAATTTTATAAAAACAAATTTTTTATAAAATCTGTTTATTTCCTTTTAAGATATTCCATATAGGCAAACAAAATATGATCTTATTAAATCATTTAACAAATTATATATTAAAGGCCGGCGCTGTGCTTGGTCTCCCCTAGATTCTTATTATTTTTAAAAGCAAAAGAGCATACTTTCCTCTATTTTTGAGAAGAAACATTCTGCAGTGGAATAAAGAAAAATCTATTTTCTAACGATATCTCAGAAACCATCTCTGATAATATGGTTTTCAAAACGTCCCTCAGATTGGACTTACATACAACTATTTCCCTATTTACCCATCTTTGTGTTACCAACGGTTTGCGTGATAGCAATACATTTCAATTAGAGTGACCATCCTGTATACAAATATAGTGATACGATATGTATTACTCAACTAAAATGTTATTTTTCTGTTTGTTTTTTTAGGTATTTCGGTTCAAAGTTAAAGGGGAAAGGGAATTTGGACCAGCAGTGTAAATATTGACGTATTTTTCATATTATATTGTGTACCTTGGAATGGAAAATAAAACAATGACAACAGTGAAAATTTGTTTATATTAATTTCCTGTGAAATATAACACGAATTATTTTATTATAAATAATTTTAATAAGCATAAGTATGCGATTATAATCTCAAAAATACACTAAATATTAATAATACTACTTAATACTTATTTAAGTAAGACACTGGATTGTAAAGTAACAAATGATTACAGTCAAAACTAGAGTAAGGGCAAGAATGCCCACGGCAATCCAAATTCTGTCCTTGGTATCTTCCACCTCCTTTTCGACGGATCCTCTACCAAATATTTTTCTATTTTTTGTATAGGGGATAAAAGCCAACATTAAACCTGAGATTGTTAACCATATTGCAGAGTGATAAAAAGCTTGTTCCCAACTATTTGTGACGTCAAATAAATGACCTGAAAAATAAAAGGGTTTTAATAAAACTGGGAAATGACACCGGGTGAAAATATGACTAGGTCCATGCTAATTAATCTCTTATATTTATGACGTAAATTGGATCAAATTTGGGACAAATATACTAACATAATTTTGAATTAGCACTTATACTTAAAAAAATGGCCGACTTTCGTGTTTAACCGAAAATTCCATTAACTTTAATAGATCGCTCTGTATGATTTTAGGAACCTACGGATCACTTTATATAAATTTAAAACAAACATATTCCGAGAAAAATTTAAACATAAAAGATGGTCTAGACTAAGGAAAAATATAAAGGGAATAAATTAAAGAAGTTATCTATAAAAAGGGATAGAAAACGGGGAAAATTGTATTGCTCCTGAAATGATCCAGAGGTTGGGAGAAAAAGTAAATGAGTGGATATAGGCTATATGCGACGAGGAAAAAGAAGAAATGCATGATAGAGTGTATGTATTAAAATGTTCGCTCTAGAAAACGATTTACCTCCCACTCTTTTGTCACAAGCTGAATTTTTCAGAGTTGAAAGGTCATGATAAGGTAACCCTTATTCCGGAGGTAATACAAAATTAGACTGTGCACTATCATCAAAAATCCAGATATTGATACCACCGAATAGATAAAAAAATACTCATTTTTTGATCCAATAAAATCTTTGTAGGGAGTAATTGTTTATACATAGTTAAAAAAAATAATTTGCATTAGCCCTTACGGCCGAAAAAAAAAAAATAAACGTAAATATCTCGGTTTCAGCCCTTCAAAAATTTGGTTAAAAAGTCGTCTTTTTTAAATATACCACTCATTTAATAAAAAATGTGTTGACAAGGTAACAGAGTAAACACCACATTTTTTGCTTTTGAATTAACAAAGATATAACAATAAACGATGAGAGATGTCATAGGTTTACGCTGTAATTAATTCTCACCGCCAATTTCATCGACTCTTCGCCTTCAAACGTAGCATAGATTTGTTTCTCTCTACGTGCCGGCTGATGTATCACATTATTGATATGGTAGGATTTTTCAGTTTTTTATTATAAAACTTCTCGTTATGTGCCAATGGGCAATGTGTCATATTGTTATTTGTTTTTACGAAAGAATTAATAAGTGTATGTGTTATATATTAAATTACCTATTAAATTGGGAAGAAATATAGACATTTTTGCATCTTTATTATATCTACAAATTCATCTGTTGCAACTGAATATATTTGGGTAAGTTATAAGTTTTCGTTTAAAATTTTAATTACGGATTTGTTGTTGCAAGAAGCAAAGACAAAAATGATATTAAAATAGGGAAGCCCAAACGTTGCATACCAAACATGCAAATGTCCATAAATAATAGTAATTATATAGCAAATTATTAAAAAATTACGCCATTGTGGCTAATAGTACCGTTCAGATATTTAAAATTAATTTTTTAAGCTGTATTCAATATCCCATGGACATCTACTAAATATATCACAGTCTAGGCGTGAACGCAAACCATCGTGGATATCCACTAGATGTTATTTGATTTTGCTTACTAAGTATAGATGGCGATACCACTTTCGCATCTACTCATGCTTGACCCGCTGTAATTGAGTTCGATCGAAATTTGTGTACTAATCACTCCATTAGAGACTGGAGTTGAGAATTTCCATTTATTGCTGAAGTGTCCTAATAAGGATGACTTTCTCCTTAGTGGGCAAAATCAAAGGCAGAGTGTTAAAAATATTTTTTATCTCTGCTTATTCTCTTTCGACGTTATTTAATAATCATTGGTTACTTATGAACCTCTACTAAAGATAAAATATGTTGCTGAATGTGAATATCCGAATATCTTCTATATCCTCGGATATAGACGGACATTTGGTTGGATATCCATATTGGATATATTGAATATCTACAAAATATATTCTGTGGCTATCTCTGGCATTTCTTGTATTTTCTGGAAGATCCATTAGATATTTTGCTGGATATCCATTAGGATATCTTCTATATTCTGGATATAGACGGACATTTGGATATCCATATTAGATCCACGGAATATTTCTGATATCTTGTGGATATATTGGATATCCACAAAAGATATTCTGTGGATATCTCTGGGATTTGGTGTGTTGTCTGGGATAGATGTGCTATTTGAGCATTATAAAGAACATTCTATCAAAAATACAACATGTCAAAAGAGAGGATCCCAGAAATTAATTGACATAGAAATTGACCGACCCAACATTCCACTTCCGCAACAATGGAACTTGTTTATTCATTCAATATTTAACAAAAGACGTTTACCAAATTTTCTGTCAGAGCAATTTCTTCAAAACTCCATTCAGCAAAAGCATATTCAATTTGTAACTAGTGGTGGATTCGCGAATATCAATAAATATGGGAAGAATTTTGAACCATCAAAATACGATTTCTTAAATTCAAATCACGAAGACGCTGATAATCGTATCTTATACTTATTGCACATATTTTCAGCCAAAAATTCGGGGCATTCACGCTGCATTATTTATTGCAACGATACAGATGTTCTAGTCTTATTAATTTATTTTAAGAAGTTTTCGACTAAAGATTTATGGTTCAGAACAGAGCTAGGAGGCTCAAGATGATTTCTAGCAGTACATTATTTAAATTTGGATGAAAACCTAAAAAATTTGCCTGCTTTTCATTCTCTGACCGGTTGTGATACAACCAGCTAATTGTCTGGCATTGGGAAAAGAACCTGTTGGAAAACCTACCTTGAACACCATTACTTTTTGAATGGATTTGGCACTGATCAGTACTCTAAAAATATATTCTCTAATCTTGAAAAAATTTTCATAAAAATTTATTCAAAAACTGCCAATGTTACTTCCATTAACATTTTGAGGGGATTAATGGCCTCGTCAAAAACCATCGCTAAATTGCCATCGACTAAAGACGCCCTAAGACTACATTGTTTAAGATGTTTTTATGGATGGAAAGTAGATTAAGATGGAAGTCTGGTACCCACTTTTAAGACTCTGCCCGACCTGCTACCAGACATAACAGAACTTACATCATTCAAATGTAAAAAAGATACTGTACACCGATAATTTTCATAGATGTACAATTGTTCTAGACTGTGGAAGCAAAATTTGCAAATGCAGGAAAAAAATATTTGCTGTATCGGTTCCTGCACCTGTATGGCACAGAAAAACTGCAGAAATAGTTTGACCACAGCCGCTAATGTTTTGGAAAATGTTGATTCGTGAAGTGAATTTTTTTTTCTATACGGTGGTATCAATAACTCGATTTTTTATAATAGTGCCCTTTTGCACAGTCTAATTTTGTATTACCTCCGGAATAAGGGTTAGCTTATCATGTACTTTCATCCCTGAAAAATTCAGCTTGTGACACCGAAGTGGGAGGCAAAGTCAAAATAAGTTTTAATCTACATCACACCAAGAACATGATACTAGAAAGAGTAACAAAATATGACTATTTGGGGAGTATACTGAGAGATAGATGCAGAAATATTAAAGAGCGATAAATCAACCAAAGGCCATGAACTGGAAAAAAATAGTTCTAATTGTGTTTTGTGAGATTGGTAATAAAATTTGCTATCTAATGACGAAATTTAAAAAGTGGGATTTTGTAAAAAAAATTCGTTTTGTAGTCTGTGCGTATAATAGATAATATCCATATGGATACAGTGACATTTAATTTGAATGGTAGATTCTAAAATATAAAATATACATAGTGACCTATTAAAAATCTGAAAGTGGACGATTTTGTTTTAGTACAAATGTCAATTTTAATTATGTTTATTATGTTATTTATTCCAAATTTGATCCAAATTATTTTTTAAATAAAGTAGATATTAATTAACATAGCCATAATCTCAATGGTTATATACTATACTATAGGTAATGGCTAATGGCCTATGGAAGACTGAAAAATTACGTGACAATTCTGGCCATGGTTTTCCAAATAAATGGATGAAAGTTTTGGAATTACTTTTTTTCATTTATGTCAATCAAATTATCGCATCGGTAGAACCGGAAACTACTTAAGACTCATAATAATATACCGACCTTTATAACATTATAAATTTTAGAAATTTAAAATTATAGGTATACCTACTAAATTATATTTGACATAGTATGTTATCGTATCAATAACCGTAGCTGTTGAGACACGTTCCCAGATAGCACACTACATCTTAAAGACGCCCAGTTCATGTCTTACTTTGGTCCAAACGTCCTGGTACGTAAAACGGAAGGTTTTAAGACGTCCTGTTCAGGACATATTTAAAACGTCTTTGTTGGGATGTTTTTAGGACGTTTTAAATATGTCGGTACTGTAGACGTTTACTCTTTTCGCAATATTTAAATATGGCGTCACGACAATGTTCTTGGCGTTGCCTGCAGCGCATGTATAGACGTCATTTGTCATTGTCTGATGCCATAGTGCGCGTCGCGTCCTGTTCTTCGTCTTTCTGCCTTCTCCTCGGGACCGTCATTTTATAATATTTTTAGCGTCGGTCTGTGGACATTGTCATTACTTTTTCGTGGTTGTGTTTTTATACATTGTCTTTTTATATTATTTATTTGCCATTATTGGAACTGTGGTATACCGAACTAGTAAACTTTTATCAGTAAAAACGGTAATTTTTAATTTATTTGCCATTTACTTTCATAACAACATCATGATTCGCTCAACAGATGCAAAAGAGCCCAGCAGCCCTATATTCGTCCATGTTGCCTCGTCATCAAATCAAACCTCATTTTATGTCTTATTTTTTAGAAAAACACCATAAAACAATAATTCAACAAAATAATATGCGTTACAGACGCTTTGACTGAAATTAATACCATTAAAGAAGTTTTTAAGCGACCAAACTGAAAGAAAGTATAATTTCGGGGAATATTTTTTCATAGAAACAGAAGAACACGTTTCACTAACACAGTAACTTCATCAAGTTCCCAGTAAACAATAATATTAAATGTTATTTTCATTTTTTTGTCTGTTAATTTGGCCAAGCTACTGTGTCAGTGAGAAACGTCGTATACTTTTAACATACAAGTATTCATTTAGTTTTTTAAACACGCATTTCCATTAAATAAATAAACGACTTGAACACGTCCATTACGGTTTGTCTTAAAGACGTACAAAAGTGGATATCCTAAATATGCCTTTAAAACATCTTTTGGATATTAGCGTACATCTTCAAAACGTCATGAACGTCGTGAACAAACGATGTATTTAAAACTTGTCTGTGCTATCTGGGTAAATTGTTAAATAAAAGCAATAATTATCGCATGCAGTTAGTTGTTTACGGATAGAAATTAATTTTTTTTATTGATTTTTAAAAATACCTACCAGCAAATGGTGGTCCCAAAAGCAGACCAATTCCCATACAAAGCAACTGCAAACCGTACCCTGTAGCAAATCTTTCCAGAGGTACCAGTTCAACTATGAGTCCCGGCGTGAAAGAATAGGTGCTTGATACGAACAATCCAAACATAGCAGCGCTTATTTCCAATAAAATATAATTGCTGGTGAAAAACATCATTCCGGCGCAAGAGATTCCAGTTAGAAATAGACACATTGCGTAACATTTGGTTATGTTCATCCAAGGTTGATCTCCGGCCCATCCTAAACCTATCTGAAATGTGAAATTGATGTTCAAATGTTTGAGCAGGCGGTGATAGAGCTAAAAACTGTCAGAAGTCTCATTCTGCATATAAAAATTAAAATTAAAATATTTTTAATTTTTTTTTTAAATGGAATAATTGTAACATACTGTATCCCATTAAAAATGGGACAAAGAACAACTGAAGATTCTCTGATTTAAACATGCTTAAGTAAAATGTTACTTGTTTCCTAAATACTGTAGGCATATTAAAAGTTGAACAATGAAAAATGAATAATGGCTATAACTTTTTTATTACCTAACAGCAAAAAAATAGTAAAATAAACTTTGTCAGTGGCGTACAGCATGGGTAAGTAACACGTTTATCCTTTCTACATGTTACGCTACTGCACAAACACTATGATTTAATTTTTTTAGAAGCATTGAGGATCTTGTTGTAAGAAGAGGACCGCTCCATTTTGCTAAAATTTTAGTTATTTTATGTACCCTATGTAAAAAATTTAAAAATTAAAAATTGTTCGTATAGACTACAAATTGATGATTGCTTTGAGATTCATCCGATTTTGTTTAAAAAAAAAAATCAATAACGAATAATTGTAGTACTTTAAAATTATGACCTGAGAGTGGTTAAGGGTGGCAGGGGATGAGGTAGGACAATAACATGTATTTGTATTGTTCAATAATATACATATATGTACGGAGAGACGGCTCAATAGCCACTGCCAAAGAACGTCATTCAGACATTGGTTAGCACGTTGCGCCCTCTCTCCATCTTCATCAATGTCGTGAACATTATATGTACAGTTCATCAAATTTCTAGAGGTGTTCGACGCCCAGACAGAGAACGCGCTACGTGTGACTAAGATAGCTATTGTACAGTCTGCTAAACAAGTTATTTTAAATAGTTTTTAATATTTTTAGGTAATTAAATTTTAAAAGTGTGGAATAGTTTAGGGATTAAATTGGTCTGATTGGACTTTCTAGAACGTTTTTAAAAGCAGCTAAAGATAGTATGTAGAATTGAAAATAATTATTATGCCATAAAAGGTGTTTTGGAATTCCTTCAACCTTTTGAAATTGAGTCAGAAAATATAAATTTTATAGGATAGCGGAAAATACCTATAATTTTTTTGTAGGCCTTTGTAAATCGTGGAAATAGTTTATATTTTATTTCTACCTTATTAAGGAAAATGGTACCTATTATTAATAACGGTTGTTTCTGAAACATTACTAAAATTTTCGAAATTTTGTTTTTCTACAAAATAATAAACTATACTATTTAGAAAAAAATTTATTTCTCTTATAATTTTATAAAAAATAACAGGGGAATATTTACATTTCTTGATCTATTAAACAAAACGATAAATTATCTCGACGAATGACACCATGTTCTAGTACGGAAGCTAGCTTTACATTTTTGTTGGTGGTTTCATGGGTTTCATATCAATTTTTTGTAATTGTAGTTTACATGTACATATACCTCTTAACACTTGTTTGCTTTATTAAAAAAGTGTGTTGTTGTGATTTACGTCGAAATAAGTCAAAAACAACTTGAAACCCCATATAAAATCAAAAAGGAGAAACGGAAAAAAATTGAGCCTGTAAATGAACACAACTCAGAAACAAAAATAGCTATCTAATAATAAAAAAATAAAATTTGATTCTTGTGCAGCTTCATCTATATCATTAACTGTTTTTGGTTTTTTAATGGTTTTTCTTGGTGATGAAAATTCCGATATCTCACGGTTATCGATTCTTTTTTTCTCTCCAGAAATGCGGACGACAGTGTTTTTAGATACTCCTGTGGCTGCAGCAACACGATCATTTACATTTTTAAATGGTATTGAAGGTGAATTAAAGTTTCCTTCTCTTCTCATAAACTCTATAACATTGGCTATTTTTTCGCGAGATTGACTGTTAATCACGCGGCCTCTTAATTTGCTATTAAACTCCATACTTAGGTTCTATTAAACTGTAATGAGCAAAAAACACAAACGAAAATAAAAGAAATGTTTTAGCGAAATTTACATCTGACATTTACGTCTGAATGAAATAGTGAAATACTTGATGCGCAGAGTGTACTTTCATTGCGTAAATCCGTCGGGATGCCTGTCAGTAGTGCTTTCTCTATCTAGCCGTCGAAAGCCTCTAGAAATTTGATGAACTGTAATTCTTGTTACCAATTTGATCAACGTTACTTATTCTTATTAAATAATACAAGTATTTAATTGTTTAATTAGTATCTTCTTCCAAGAAATATAAATTTATATTAAACATGTATATTATGTATCCTTGAATATAAAAGCACTTTCCAAAAAATCAGTTTATTAATTTAAAAATAGCAGAAATAAAGCCATCCAAAGTTTTCGGGCGGACACTCGGTTATTATCCAATATAATAGTAATAATAACGAAAATAATGTTTATATACAAAAAGTTATACAGTAAGGACGTATAGGTTGGAATAAGTTCGATATTTTCTGTCGAACAGCTAACAATATTTTAACAAAATGCTTTCACATTCAATTTTTATTTCAACTGCGCTTCTTACGCTGCAATTGAATGTTCTAATGATGTCACCATTTTCGTGTACATGACGTTATCGATTTGAAATGGAACAACATATTTTTTGCTTCATTTTTGAATTGCCCAATAATAGACTATTACAAAAATATATGTAATACTAAGTAACAAGTTATTGGTTTGAGAATTAGAGACAAATGTTATATCAGACATTTTTAAACTAAAATTTTTTTTTGGCAGGACTATATTTTTAGCTTTATTGCAAATCATACCAACACATGCAAAAAAAGAAAATAATATTAATAAACACCTACCTTGTTTATTAGTCCAATCCTTTCAAAAAATTTTAAATAAAAAAATTTTAATATAACATTTGTCTCTAATTAACAAACCAATGACTTTGGACTATAAGTATTACATACATTTTTGTAATAATCTATTATTGAGGAATTTAGAAATAAAGAGATAAATATATGTCTGTATGGCATCATGTGTATACGAAAGTGGTGACGTAATTGTTGCAATATACAGACAAATTTAGCCAGTCTGTGTTTCAGGGGGGCTATTTTCAAACTCGAGAGAATTCATTTCTCTCAAGAGAAATGTCAGACGTCAACGTAAAACAGTATTTTTAGGGCTCTTAGGGCCAGTGTGAACTCACTGACTGTTTCTCTAGGTTTATTTAGAGAGAATTAAAATTCTCCTAAGAATTTTAATCCTTGAGGCCTTTAAAAACAGCGTTTCCACATTGACATATGACATTTCTGATGAGAATCTTGATAGAAATGAGTGCTCCCATACTTTGAAAATAGCCCCCTAGGTGTTGTTAAAAACCAAGAAAGACAGACTTGCTATTAGACAGCGCGAAGAAACAAGAAAGAACTATTACACGGACAAAGAGAGAGTTGCCTGCAGATAAATTTTATGAAATGGACGAGTGACCTCGCAACTTTGTCGAAATAAAAAGCGATAGAACAGCCTTAATCGACTGATATTATATGAAACAGGTTGCGATAATAAATGGTAAGAATAACATTTTGGATTTCGTAATTGTTTGGCGCAAGAACGGTGCAGGTCTGAACCCTTCTCTTCCCTTCTTTCTCCTTCTTTCCCCCTTCTTTCCCTTTATTTCTGTTTTTCCCTTCTTTCTCCTTCTTTCATATGAATAAATATTTATTTTTTAATATTATTAATAGAATTTTTTCAAAACTAGTTTTTTTTTTACTTTATAATAAGTGCAAAGATTAGTGTACAGTACAATTGTTTTTTTCTTTTTTTCTTTTTTTCTCTTTTTCTTTTTTTCTTTTTTTCTTTTTTTCTTTCTCTTTAAGAAAGAAGTTGTAAGTTACATGTAAATATGTCACCCCAAGTAACACAAAAAGTTTATAATATACCTAATTGATTATACTCATTTGAATGCAAATATCTTGAAAACCAATCACTTTATTCATAAATTTCCAACAAGAACACATGATTTACTTAAAAAATATCAAAAAATTTACAATTATAGTCAAAATTAGTGGTTGAACAGTGGCGTAACATTGAGAAGAGACAAAAATGTTACTTCCTCATATCTTACGACACTAGTAAAATTTAATTAAGTCATTTTATGCTGTTATGTGTATCTTATGACATCAAAAACGTTTTCCGAATTTAGTAAAAATAAACTGAGTAATAAAAAAATTATAGCCATTAATAGTTTTTCACTCAGTATTTCGGAAAGAGTAATATTTTATCTCATATCTCATTTTTTAATCAGATAATCTTCAGTTGTTCTACGTTACATTTTAATGGGACACCCGGTATATACAAAACATTTGTAAAAATGAATTGAAAATAGATTTTGTTCGATAATTCCAAAGAAAATTTCTGTTATATTTCTGATACTCTTATAGATAAAATGTATTTTTTAAAATAAATCGGATTGATGCAATTCATCAATTTCAATTATATTAAAGTAACTAAAAGACCAATCTTGAAATTGACCTGATTCTACTAAAATTATAAACGTTTGTATAATTAAGCAGTAGTCTGTTATTTTTTACAATTGCATGCATTTTTACACACACTCACTAAAACAAGTGGGTGACGGTGTCCGGTAAAAATAACAAAACAATACTAAAATCATTAAAAAGAGAAGTTTTTTATTAAGAAGACATTAAAATTTAACAATAATTATCGCCACTTAAATATAAACTTTAGTTTACGTGTTAGTTTCATTTATATTTTTATTGTCGTAGATAATGGTTTTCTCAGTTCCGGTATCATCAGGCATTATTTAGTTGATTGTTTAACCGATGCAGGTAAATTGGTTTGTTTTGTTGCATTTCAGATAAACAATACATATATATTCTAATTAAAAGGATAACTAAACTATGTGTAACTAACTTTTTTTCATACAAAGTGTTCATACAAAGTGTTCTTTAACAAATAAAAAAACCTACAGAGCTGTTTTTTTGACTAGTGGTTCAGCTGATAGGTAAACACACGCATTAGTAATTAATCGCATTACTACCGACATGAACCGAACTATAAGAACAAGAGGCATCTGGCATCAATAGCACAGTATGCATGTTTTTTGAGTAGTAGAGCAGACATACAAATAGGCAAAGACAAAATAGTTCAGTACCATTTTCTCTTCAGTTGTGAACCGATTTTTAGTTTTGTTTAGTATTTTTTTTTTTCAGTCTTCGTAATATTAAATCCATTGTTCCAAAATTATAAATTATGATTAACTAATAAAATTAGCCTATAGCGAACATAAGCACCCTTTAATTTCGAACCGGCAAGAAAAATAATACATGGACGCATAGAGGTTCGCGAAAAACGAAAAAAAAAAATACTTTCCCTCTACTCCTCCAACTTCCTCTGCCACCCCTAAATGGTAAGAGTTCGAAGAAACTCACACGATTTCAAACTGCCCAAATTCCTCCATCCCTACTTCACCCTCCAGGGGAGGTCGATATAAAGAACCCCTAGATTTAGGAAAATGAACGTCGGGTACGACATATTGGACTTTGAGACGAAAGAAATTCACCATCCAAAGGAAAAGTCACTTCACCACCCTTTAATATGGGTGCCCCCCATGGGTGAATTTACCTTCCCCCTCTTATTTTCGGTGGGCGCGAAATATTTTTTCATAATTCGAGTATTTTGAGATATTGGTTATATAGATAATGAAAATATTTTAAGAGTAAGCCGACTTTCTTCCCCCGCCAGTTTTTTTATACCTTTTCTGGGTTATTAATGATTATTTTCAATATGATTCATGACAGGGTGCAAGCTGAGGTCGGATATAGCAGAGCGATCGGGGTTAAACACACTAAACCCCCCTTTTTTTTAGGGGCCTCAAGAGTAACCTCAAAATAAAAATTGTTTCATATCATATCAATAAATGAGGGTTTTAAATTACTCTTATTTTATTGAATTTAGTATTTATTTAATTATAATGGTACTGAACTATGTTGTATTGTAAGTACATATAACAGTTTAATGTCTCAGATATACATATATTGAACGAATATATCGCACATCCGGTGCAAAAATATTAGAAAGTGACTTTTTAGACACAAAATACGCCTAATATGCTTCTATATCTGCTACAGCAATGTGGTAAATATAACATATACAATAATCGAGCAATTAATCAGTCATTCGATTTTTAATACATGTCAGCTTATGACGAACAAAACTTTCAAAAAAATAGATTTTTGCACTTACGACGTTCTTGTACCGGATGTACGATATAAGAATTAAAAAATGTTAGAATCATGCAAATAAATATTATACTCGTATATTTTCTATAATACTGGCCAACATAATTACACTTTTCGACTGAAGAATGACTTATGTCACATGATGTTTACTAATAAATTTAAGTCGCTGATTCTAAATATACCCCCACTTTTTTCTGACAGCTCTTGTTTACGAGTTATAGCTTTCACTAAAAATTTGCTGTATTATAGTGTTTATTTGCAGTTTATTTAATAATAATTACTGAATTATTATACATTTTTAATTCTATTTGGAAATAGCATTAATTTATAATTTTCTTTAACGACCCCTCTGTTGTACGACCGTGGACACCCCCTGTAATTTCTTAGAAAATACTTATAAAGATAAAAGTACATCTCTTTAATGACCGGTAAAAACCAATTTCAGAATTCTTAAGAAATTATCTTTTGTTATTTTAGGAAAAGGTTTAGTAAGACAATAGTGAAATTATCTTTCTTGTTTGAATTATTGTTTTATTTTGTAATTTGATATGGCATCGTCAAGAAGAGTGTATGTGAATGATTCAAACAATTTTTGTTTTATTTGCGGAGAGTATGTATTTAAAGAATACCGTTTAAATGTGACAACGTTCGTAAATAAGGCTTACAAAACTTATTTTGGGCACCCACTGGAAATGAGGAATAAGTCTTGGATTCCGCAAAAGGTATGCAAAACATGCGTTGAGTTCCTATGTTTATGGACAAATAAGAAAAGACATAGCTTCAGGTACAAAACCGCTATGATTTGGAATGAACCCATAAACCACCATGACGATTGTTATTTTTGTTTGGTAAACATAACTGGTATTAACCGAAAAAATTGAGCCAAATGGGAGTATTCTTCCATACAATCGGCACACAGACTTGTCCTGAGCCCTAAGTCTACACCTGAATCTCAATCTGGTAGGCACTTTACAGGAAGAGCCAGAAGATTTTGAGACGAAAAACGACAGTAGTGATAGTGACTTTGAATGCGACCTGGGAACGCCAAAACCATTTAATCAAGATGATTTAAACGACTTCATTAGAGATCTGGAACTGTCAAAGTCAGCTTCAGAAATTTTGGCTTCAAGGCTAAAAGAAAGAAAATTGGTAACGAAAGAAACTAAAATTTCTTATTACCGCACAAGAGAACAGAATTTCCTCAAATATTTTGCTGAAGAAGACAATTTCGTATTTTGTAAAGATGTATCTGGATTGATGGCTGCAATCGGATTACAAAATTATGTTTCTAGTGAGTGGCGTTTATTCATAGACCCGACTAAACGGAGTCTAAAATGTGTTCTCTTACACAATGGGAATAAATTAGGGTCGTTGTCTATTGCACATTCTACAAAAGTAAAAGAAGAATATACAACTATTGCTCTGGTTGTGGACAAAATTAAATATATGGAAAATAACTGGATCATATATGTTGATTTAAAAATGGTCAACTTTCTATTAGGCCAGCAAGGTGGTTACACAAAGTATCCTCGTTTTCTTTGTTTGAGGGATAGTAGAGCTAAAAATCAACATTGGGTTAAAAAGGCTTGGCCTACTCGGAAAGATCTAGCTCCAGGGCATCAAAATGTGATAAACCCACCTTTAGTGTCAAGAGATCGTATAATTTTGCCTCCGTTGCATATAAAATTAGGGCGTATAAAACAGTTTGTCAAAGGTCTTAACAAAACTGAAAATTGTTTTCTATTTCTATCAAAAAAATTCCCAAAACTGAATGTATTTTCGATGGGCCACAGATAAGATCATTAATAAAAGACACAAAATTTACGGACACTATGACAGAAATTGAGAAAAACGCATGGAATGAGTTTGTTTGGCTTGTTCAAATTTTTTTGGGATATAAGAAAGTTCTCAGTATTCTCAACACGTTGAACAACTAATCAGTCACTTTCAAACCCTTGGATGTAACATGAGCATCAAGTTGCACTTTCTTCACAACCACCTAGATTATTTTCCCGCTAATCTTGGTGATCTAAGTGAAGAACTGGGCGAACGATTCCACCAGGACCTTCGTACGATGGAGGAACGGTTTCAAGGCTGCTGGAACGCACACATGATGGCTGACTATTATTGGAGCATTCAGAAGAGTTCTATGGGTCCAACCTCTGCAAGGAAGTCTTATAAAAGAAAGTTTTGTTCACCTTAAGAACTAAATAAAATATGATTAACTTTAAACAAATTGTGTTTTACTCTGAAACGGCCATGTGTCATATTTTCTAAACTAGAGCTAATACAGAAATTTAGACTACAGATTTGAAGTCTTTATTAAAAATTAAGCTAGTCATGTAAAATAACTCAATCATCAGAAATGCTGTTGTGCAGTGTAATTTTTAATATTGATTATGGTCGAATTTCGACCACTGGGCAAACACTAGTTATCATAAATACATCAGCAGTTTTTTCAATATATGTAATTTTGTATTACCATAAGTTGCGATATAATGATGCAGAATTGAAATTTGACGAATAATGTGTAATTATATACGTACATTTTTATTTAATTTTTCATAACCCGTGACCTTGATTTAATTAAAAAACTATAAAAATTGATAATTCAGAAGATGTAATTTATTTTATAAGGAATTTTTTTTGGAATACACGGCTCGATGAAGGTCTAACAAATAGTGCCTACATAAGGAACTATTTTCTTGTTTGTTACAAGAGAATTCAAATGACAAAGTTTTATTTTGGTCATACAGAAATCTAGGATTATATATTGTTAAACGGCACCTTTGATATGAAAATAAAATGGGGTTATTTTAAATGATTGGTTTTTACTGAAAATAATAATTTCATCAATTTTCAATAATAAATTAATTAATTCAGCTGAAATTTTAATTTTTAAATACAATATAGGTATTCGGAAATTAGTCATTGTCAGTTTTTGAGAATTCTATCATTTTTGAACAATTATAATTTCGCAATAATGTACAAAAATAGTGAAATACCCTTTCGGATTTTTTAACTTACCATTCCAATTGTATTGGTGATACCTATAATCGAAATTGTAAGAGAAGCTTGTTCAGTGGTATATCCGTGTTTTATCATGTGATCAGCCAAATAAAAATACGGCACTATAAACCAAACAAAAAGTATTATGGTCGATAGGGACAGGAAGAAAAAATGTAGTTCTAAGAATAACGAAAAATCGAACATTCCCTTCACCAAGTCTAGAAGTTCAGCGTACCATTTCTATAAAATTGACATCGTTACAAATCGCAGAAGACCATCAGCAGAAAATTCATCAAAAGTGCTAGAGTGATTTTATTTGTGCAGTGAATATATTGGTGTAATTAATTAGTAGGTACTGGTTAAAGGTCTATAATTTTAATACGAGGGTCAGTCATATATAAACCAGAATTTTATTCAGGAGAACTGTACTAATCGAAATAAACTGTCATATATAGAGTATAAAGATATGAATGTAGAGAGAGGATGCATACTACAACAGCGACCGGTATCTTCTTGTTGCAATAAGCGCGAGAAGTATCTCTTGTCGGAGCAAGAAGTACTATTATCGATTGCACAACGTATCATAATTATTATATCACGTCAAATTCTTCGACATTTTAACTCGATCGCGGATACAGATCGGAGATACAACATTATCAAAAACTCAAGTGTATAAGTGTTTCAGAAAATTTAAGGAAGGGCGTGAAGCCGTTCCAAAATAAGAATGACAAACAGATGTCCACGGTCAAGCCTAACAGATGCCTGGAGTGCGTTTAGAAACCCCGCACGACGCGTCTGAGCCCTATTCTAATGCATGTGGTCAGACGCGCCGTGCGGGGTTTCTAAACGCACTCCAGTATTCGAGCAATTTTTTGTGACTGGAGAGGAATATTCTCGATGATTTTCTTCATGAATGTCGTACTGTAAATGCTCTACACTGCTGTCAGATTTTGGATGCCGTGAAAACTGCATACAGATACAAAAGACGTAGTACCCCAATCTGACATATGATTTTGATTCATGATAATGCTCGTCCTCACACATCTCTTTGGCTAGACAAAATTTGACTGAATTCTTCAAACATCTTTTCTATAGTCCGAAATTGTCGCTCTGCGATTATCATTTGTTTGGGCCATTGTTGAATAAGTAATGAGTGGATAGCATTTTAAAAATGACAAAGATGTAGACAGGTTCATGCGCAACTGGGTTGTTACACTATCTACTCAAACTTTTGCTATTATACGCCGACACTCGAACGGCGGATATAACTACTGAAATTTTATAGAAAGTTTCTAGACACTTTGAAACACACTATACATAACAATTTAAGGACCGCTGACACTAAAAAAAATTTTTTTTTACCTTAAAATCCTTAAAATTTTTTGTCAGGTCTCCATCATAAAACAAATGTGAAATAAACAATTTTCACTGATTTATTGTTGTAGAAACGGCTAAATATCAATATTAGACCATTCATAGAGCAGTAAACCATACCAAACTTTTTCAAAAATGATCATATTTTCTTATTTTTCATTTTTAGTTTGTTAGAAAAACAAATAGACAATAAATTATTGAATTTGGATCCCGAAGTGAAAACATTTGTAGTTATCATAGACATCCGCCTTTTTATTTCATGATTTTGCGATAATTACGGCATATCGGTACTTATCTAATATTTGTAAAAAAATACTTTTCTTCAATTTGAGCTGTGTCCAGGCCGTTGGAGTCTATCGGTCGGCGTAGCCGCCACCCTTCAAGAAGTCGTTGTTTCGTCTTATTGTATATTTTCTTATTATTAGATGCCCACGATAAAGACACGTTCGTTAAAAGTTGGGATCGAGGTTCACTGGCCAGAAGCTAGTGAGGGTTGGTTAGGTTAGGTTGGGTTGGATTGGCTTGGCTTGGCTTGGATTGGATTGGATTGGATTGGATTGGATTGGATTGGATTGGATTGGATTGGATTGGATTGGATTGGATTGGATTGGATTGGATTGGATTGGATTGGATTGGATTGGATTGGATTGGATTGGATTGGATTGATTGGATTGGATTGGATTGGATTGGATTGGATTGGATTGGATTGGATTGGATTGGATTGGATTGGATTGGATTGGATTGGATTGGATTGGATTGGATTGGATTGGATTGGATTGGATTGGATTGGATTGGATTGGATTGGATTGGATTGGATTGGATTGGATTGGATTGGATTGGATTGGATTGGATTGGATTGGATTGGGTTAGGGTAGGTTAGGTTAGGTTAGGTTAGGTTAGGTTAGGTTAGGTTAGGTTAGGTTAGGTTAGGTTAGGTTAGGTTAGGTTAGGTTAGGTTAGGTTAGGTTAGGTTAGGTTAGGTTAGGTTAGGTTAGGTAACGTTAGGTTATTTCATGATGATTGTGCGTTAATTACGACATGTCGGTAACTTATCTAATATTTGTAAAAATACTAGTTTTTTTTTTAATTTGAGCTGTGTCCGGGCCGTTGGAGTCTATGCCAGTTGGCATAGCTAGGTATGGGGTAAAATTTTCTACAAGAAGTCGTTGCTTCGTCTTCTTTTTGTATATCAATATTGACGTCGAAGAGTACTCTACCCATGAGGGCGAGAAAGAAGATCTTGATATGTATATTTTTTAAATCGTTGATTTTATATAATTTTTTTTATACTGAAGTCAATTGGTTGGCCTCATACAACACAGGGCATAGGTCAAAATGACCATTGCTATGTAATAATTGATATGACAACACTATTTCTTTTAGACACATGTCACACTGTCAATGTCAATTGTCATTGGGTTCATGAAAATTAGATAATTTTGAAGAACTTTAACCTGGTCGTAAATTAAGAAAATAAACTGTTTACGAAAAAATTTGGAATGATTTATTGCTTTATGGATGGTCTAGTATTATTATTTAGCAGCTTCTATAACAAGAAATTAATCAAAATGATATAGTTCAAATTTTTTCAACATCGAAATTAGAAAAATATTTTAATGCGTTTACAGGACAAAAAAAGTATTTTGAAATGTGTTTCAGAGGGTCTAAAATGGTCTTAAAAAAAATAGCCCGTTCGACCGTTGGCGGTTTTTTCCAAACTTTTAGGCGTTGGCAAAAATACGTAGATATTCGAGAAGACTATGTAGAAAAATTTTAAGATTGTTTTATATTTTTATTTTGCATTAATAAATATTTAATAAAAAAATCGGGTTTATATTTGACTGATCCTCGTACAATTGTGAAGATATATCTCCAAGCAGAGAATAAAATGTAAAATTCAAGTATCTTATACCTACGATTAAAATTTCACTCCAAAACACCATATATATTTTTTTAAATTGAAAGACAACTTTTGTATGCAAATAAGCAAATTTTAACATTATTATAATTACGTTTACAATGATTAAAAAACCACTGAATTGCACTTTTGGACATTTTCTTCTGAGTGTAAAAGCTCGACAATTAAATCCAAGAAAAAACCACATACCTCATCTTCGTCATGTTTCAATGTCAAAGTAGACAATCTGTATATATTGGGACAGCTAGATGCCTTAAACCTATACTTATTTGTGTTAAAAACGGCTGCCCTATGAACCAAGGACTGTCTGTGTATCTTTAAATGTTTGAAATAATGCTGTGGTCGTTGTGCAGGTTGGACGATTTGATGTTTCGGTTTTGAATGTGTTGCGTTTCTTGTATGTCCTGCTTTTTTGATTGGTTTTTCTACCAGTAAGGGTTCTTGGACTTCAATATCTCTGTCTACAATAGATACCTTAAAAAACAAAGTACATTAAAAGTCAATATGTGTATTCTATAAAGTTAACTGGATCCATATGGGAAATTTTGTCAATATTACTATTGGAAAAAACTTCGTAGGGCATTTCTTCTGCTTCTTTAAAATCTTAAAATAGCCCTTACTAAAGTTGGCTAGGTACTGCATATGTCAATCGTAATATTAAAAAAAAAATCCTATAGGGATCCAACTTTATGGCACACACTGTAGAAACTATAACTAATTAAAGGGGAATACTTTGAATAGAATATTTTGTGTAAAATATTCACTACAGTACAATATATTAATATAAAGGATTCCCAAAAAGTTTTATTTAAATGGGAAAAAGTTTTATCTTACATTTCACAAAAAAAAAATATACTTCACTTGGGATGTACCCCATTTATCTAAAAAGTCATCGTACGTATCTATTATATTATAAATTACTTTCAATTTGGAAGCGTAAATCCGACTTTACCAAGACTAGGTCAAATCGGCAACGTTGTTTTATGGAAAATACGCGACAACAACATTGGTGCGGTCTTGCCGAATTTAAAAAAGTCTGATTAACTTGAATTTGTTATGATAGTCGTCATAAATTTGAAAGGCTTGGAAAAATTATCTTTATCAAGAAAGGATAGAAAGCATTGAATTATTCAGAAACTTGGACACTGAAAAAAAGACTCGTAAGCAATGATGACATATTGTAGTTAAAACGAAGCTATGAGCATACCTAGTTTTCTTGCAACTTCGTACGTAGAATGTACTTAAAACTCTATTTTAATATTTTGCTTGATTTAAACAGTGTTTTTACTCCATAAAATATATTCAATATAGTTTTTTTATTGTTTAAGGGAGTAATAATTGAACAAAATTCAGAAAAAATATTGTTTATGTAAGAAAAAATTTTTGTATTTGTTAAAAAACTGAAATTAAGGACGAAATTCCTAAATGTCGCTCCTGTTATAAAACTGGACAGGATCCTCAAGTTTTCTGGAAGCCAATATTATTGTAAAACGGTTTTATGAAAGCCTAAATTTAGATAATTTGAAATACAAATATTTTGAAGCAGTCAAAATTCACCACTGTATACAAATTACAGTAAGTATCTGCCCATGCATCACACATTATTTCAAAAGTGTTTCAGAAATATTTCAAACGTTGCAAACATAACATTTCAAGCACACGTTTCTGAAATATTTTAGTTAAATATTTCACTGAAAATGTTTCTAAAACGGGTTATAAATGTTACACAAAAGGTTACAAAGTGGCCAAGATTTAATGAACAATTTTTCATTTATAAGAAGAGAAAGAAGAAGAAGATTATGTATTTTAAATATAATTTTATTTCATACTATATTCAGCCCGATACAACCCTATATTCTAAATAATTGGAAGTTTGTAGTCGGTTTTTGCAATTAGCTTTTTTTGTTTGTGGGTTGTGCTGTTGTGTGGAAAGAAGAATATGTCTTTAGAAATTGTTGTAAGTTTTCTATAGAAATAAAGGGGGGTAATTTACTTTATCTCATTTCGTTTATTAAATTTGCAGACAGTTTTAGTGTAATTTTTTTCTAAATATAACCTACATTTTTTGTCCTAACCTAACCTCCCCTAGTTCTATTTATTAGTTCTACAGCTCTGATTGAGGAGCACCTAAGGAGGAGCTTCATGTTTTGTTTCAGCACGAGTATTGTTTGTTTTATTATAGTTAATTTAAAGCAATATTAATAAAACTATTGTTAATCAAATAATTTGTTTCAAATCCTTTTTTAAGTACCTATAATTTATGTCAGGTTAGTATATTTAAAAGAATTGGTGGAAATGAAGCGAATTCACCTTTATATTTTATGAAATAATACACGAAACAGAAACGATAATTCCTAAACAAACAGTGGTACATCCAGAGTTTAAGTCTGGGGGTAGTGGCAATTAGGGCCGCCGAGAGCCATGGGGAGGCACCGGGGCATTTTTATAAAATTAGGTCCTTTTACAGCTGCCCCCAAGACTTTATTTTTGATAATAGTACGTTTTAGTACCTATAAAAAGTTAGGTTTCAAAATGTATGGGGGTACTTACCCCCCATATATGCGCCACTGTAAACAAAGAAACAAATTATTTTTAAACAAATGTCTTTTGTTTAGTGTAATAAAGATATTACAGTTTAATATTGCATTCAAAGACTATTTTGATGTTCCATAAATATTTTAGAATCGTTTCTATGTTTCATAATATTTATGAAACAAAACTGGAATACTTGTATTTCGTGCAAAACTTTTTAATTAATAAATGCAAAAACATTTGGAGAGCAAAGCAAAATCCCAAATGGTTCCCAAAAAACATTTAGAACATGAACTGGAGATAAGTATGTTGGGTCGAGTGGACATTCGTAGTCAGTTGAGTAGTGCTTACCGCGATTCTATAAAAAACCATAAGGACGTTAACAGCAACCATTACATATTGTCCAAATTAATTGACTGCATAAAATTTTGTGGCGCTTTTGAGCTCGCTTTGCGAGGGCATGACGAAACGTCAACTTCAGAAAATCCTGGCATTTTCAGAGGTTTAGTTAGTTTAATGGCTGAAATAGACAGTGTGTTAGAGGCACACTTAAATGACACAAAAAACAAATTGTTTCAAGGTACATCAAACATAATTCAAAATTAATTGCTCGATTCAATTTTTCACGTTTGTCAAGACATAATAAAAAAGATATTCAGGCTACTAAGTATATCGCCATACAGGCTGATGAAACAACTGTTTCATCAACTCAAATGCAGCTGGTTTTGATAATCAGATAGACGGTCGGATTTACGAAATGTTTTGGAGTTTTTTGAGACCAAATGTCACACTGCAGACGGGCTTTCGGCGGCAATTCTGGAGGTATTCAGTGAACTAGGAATTGACAAAGTACCTGAAAAATTAATAGCACAAAGTGCTTACGTAATGAGTGGTATTGTTGGAGGAGTACAAGATAAAATTAAAAACATCTATGCAAATGCTCAATACAGGGTGTCCCGAAATTAGACAGTCATATTTTAACATAAAAATCTACATCCTAAAATAGGAGTAAAAGTTTATATAAACATAAGTCCGAAAATGTTCCGTTTTCGAGATACAGGGTGTTACAAGTGAAGTCCTGATGGAACATTTTTGTAAATATTTTCTAAAATTTCTTTAGTCAGCGGTTTTCGAAAGTTAAAAAAAAAATAAAATTTCTGATTCCGCAGGCCTTCTAATTATTGTTTACACTTTCGATTAAGATAACATCAACTTATCATGAAATTTTCAAATGCTTTCATTTTGAAAATGGCGCGTCCTAGCGAGATGCAACAAAAGTAGCTTTATTATAAAGAAAACATTGGTTATCCAAATTGTATAGTCAAAAATGGTAAAAACTGTCAACAAAAAAAACTAAGGACAATTTTACCCTAAGACCCCCCTAATTTACCACCTATGAAGATGATCAAAAACTCGAGGTTAAAAGAGCGTAAAAAGGTAAGTAACCCAAATTTCATTTATTTATCTTGAAAATATTTACAAAAATGTGTCATCAGGACTTCACTTTTAACACCCTGTATCTCGGAAAAGAAACGTTTTCGGACCTATGTTTATATGAACTTTTACTCCGATTTTAGAATATGACCGTCTAATTTCGGGACACCCTGTATATTCACTGCTACGCGCACCAATTAAATCTAATAATTGAAAAGTGTTGCTCAATAGATAAGGCTGTAAGAGTTTTTTTGCCAATCTCTCTGTATTTTCTGCTTATTTCTCCAGCTCTACAAAAAGAACAAGCGTTTTGGATAGGGTTGTAAAAAAACGGTTAACTCGTTCGGCTCCTACACGGTGGAATTTTACATCAAAGTGTGTCAATAATATTTATGTTTATAAAGAGGATTTAATTAAATGTCTCGAAGAAATTATGAACACAGAATTCGATAAAAAAACTATTAATCACACTAAAGGGTTGATAAATTTTTTGAAAGACATCGATTTTAATTTCTGGTAATTTTTCTTCAGCAAAATAATGCCAAATTGTGATATACTTTTTGATCAACTGCAGAGTAGACAGCTCGATGCTCTCAAGGTTAAGATAAACATGTCAAATTTTACAACAGCTATTCAAAATATTAGAAATAATATAGACACGGTAATTCATGAAGAATGGCAATCACAACAAGATCCACAAGAACTAAACTGAAACGACAACACCCAATCAGGTCCAAGTACAAGTAAGAAGAGACGGTTTGTTGAAAATGAGGACCCCATTCCTAATTTAAGGATATGTAAGGAAATTTGTGATACAATAGTAGTGCAGGTAAATGAACGTTTTAGTTTTACTACCCACCTAACAATTGCAAGTTTATTTGATAGTAAAAAATTTAAAGACTATCGAGGTTGTTTTCCAAATGAGGGCGTTAAAACTGTGTGTAGTTTATTTCCAAACGTAAACAGCTTAAAATTAAAAAACGAACTGTCCATACTTTACACTCGAGATGACTTTGTGCAACACAATGGGGCCGTACCGTTATTACAAATGTTTTTTGAGAACAATTTGACAATTACATTTTCGGAATCTGTGGAGCTGCTAACTATCCTGTGTACAATTCCCATGACCACAGTGGAGAGTGAAAGATGTTTTTTGACACTAAAACGTATTAAAACATTTTTAAGAAACACTATGTGCCAAGATAGATTTTGCGCGTTAGCCATGTTATCCATCGAAAAAAACTTATTCGGTCCATTCCAAATTTTAATAATCTGGTCATCTATCACTTTGCTAGCCAAAAATCCGGAAGAATGGACTTCAAGTATAATAAATAGTATACAACTGCAGCGGTACCTAGCAGTAAGTCTTTAATTTTGTAATATTTAATTTTTTTTGAAATATATATTTAATTTTCATTAAGCGGAGAACTTGTTTTCCTAAGGGAAAAACGAATCCCGGGATTCCTTTCCAGTGTGTGCCCCACTACGCTAGTGCCCACGAGCCGCCA